AGAGAGAGACAGAGAGAGAGATGAAGAGCGAGGAAGACAGACAGATAGGCAGAAACACAGACGAGAGATAGAGAGGTGTATGTGTTCTGAACGAGCCTATACAACATGTATCCCCCCAAAAAACCATAAAACAAAACACACAAAGAAAACACACAGAAAACCCCAAAACAAAACAAAATCAACCATAACAACAACAACAACAACGGTATACTCACTGGTATTCATCTTCATCTCTCTTCTTCGGCTGGAAGTTCTTCACTAACTTTCTGTTGATAAAAAAAGAAGAAAAAACACAAACATTAGTCAACAGGTCAGGAAAAGATACAAGAAGGAAACTAAAGCCAAAACGCCACAAACAGGCAGGCAAATGTTAGTTTAGTTTTAGTAAGAGTTTTACGGCACTTGCAACACAATACGGTCATAATATAAGCGCTGAAGATTGCCGAAGATTAGAGGTGTTACAAGAGAGTAACAAACACACAATAGAAAGAGGGGAGATAAAGACAACAGCTGATGTTTGATAGGAAAGAAGAAGCAAACCACACCAGAGCACCCGCCAACCACCCACAGGTAAATGTTACAATACGGATACAAGGATAAGCTTTCCCAGCGCAGGCACGATGTACATGTATCCCAAGGAGCGTTCATGTGTATAGAGCAGCAGCAACAACATGGCAGTCAACTATGACATCATCATAGTATTATCATCTTCATCATCCTCGCCTCATCATTATTGGAAAACAGAGAGAAACGCTCCCACTCCTCCTCCTCAACAACAACAACGCCGTTAACTAAGACGATGACAACAACAACAACACCGTTAACTAAGACGACGACAACAACAAAAACACCGTTAACTAAGACGACGACAACAACAAAAACAACAACAACGCCGTTAACTAAGACGATGACGACGACAACAACAACAACAACAAAAACAACAACAACGCCGTTAACTAAGACGACGACAACAACAAAAACAACAACAACACCGTTAACTAAGACGACGACAACAACAAAAACAACAACAACGCCGTTAACTAAGACGAAGACGACGACAACAACAACAACAACAAAAACAACAACACCGTCAAACTAAGACAACAACAACAGCAACACGGTCAACTATGACAGCAACAACAACAACATCGTCAACTAAAACAACAACAACAACATGGTCCACTAAGACAATGACAACAACAACAACAACAACAACAACATCGTCAACTAAGACAACAACAACAACAATGAAAAGTAACAAAATACAGAAACATTTCTCAATCACTAGGACCTAATCGCTGATCAAACATAGTGCCGCTGTACAACCTCATTAGC